TGTGGCGGGGGCGGGGGGGGGCAGCTGCTGGGAGGAGCACAGACGCAGGAAGTGAGGTGGGGAGAGCTGCAAAGGGTGTAGGGAGACCTTCCTGGCCTGTGCAACCAGGCTGAGGACTGCTGGGCCGTGGCCTTGGTAAGTGCCTGTTCTGGCCTCCAGTCTGAGCAGGCCCTGAGAAGCCCCCTGGTGCCCTGGGGGCAGCAGAGGGCCAGGGTCTAGGAGGGCAAGGCCCTGCTGGGTGGGGGCACTGGGACCTCAAAGCAGCCTGGGTAGGCAGCCTGGGCCCTCTCCCGGTCTGGGCACACTGATCCAGCCTCCAGATGCCACTCCCTCACCCCCGGTCCTGCTGCTGGACTGCCAACTGAGTGACCGGTCCCCAGGAGGAGGCAGACCCTACAGCCTGGATGTCTGGAGAAGGGAGTGTGAAAGCATGGGGACAGCTCTCCTGCCGTGCCTCTGCTCCTGGCTCCTGCGGGGCCCACAGTGAGTGGCTCGGGCATCACCTGAGCCGGCCAGGCCTAGGCGGGTGTCTCACAGGCCCAGGGGTGACCTCAGAGGCTTCCCCAGGCCCTGGGCTTGGGCCACAGTGAGTGCAGGGGGGCCTCGGCCATGTCACAGCTGCCCTGTCCCCTCCTCACTAGCCTGTCTTGGCCATCACTGTCGTTAAGTGACAGGCGCCAGGCAGAGTGCTCCTCTACACTCGCCAGGACACCAGCACTGCAGGAAGGTGGGCGCCTCTGGGAGGGAGAGGAGCCTTGGGGTTTCCTGTGTGAGTCAGAGCTGGAGGGGGAGGTGCAGATGGGGGCTGTGGGCGGTACCAGCCCTGCTTCTTGTCCCCAGGCAGTCCTGGCTTCCCAGATGGCTACATGGGTGAGCTGGACCCCTCCTGCCCTTTGGACCTTCGGGTGTTCGGCCCTGCTCCTCTGCCTGTGGGCGCTGTGCTCGGCCTGCTCCAGGTACAGCCCCTCCTGCATTGCCCTGGGGATGCCTCTGCCCGGGCCTCGGAACACAGGTGGGTGCCTCCCCTCCCCCCGCCCCGGTCTGATGTCGCTCTCGCCCCCAGGAAGCAGGCTCCAAGGCCCAGGAGACCCTGTGCTGGGTCGCAGGACACAGTGAAGCCTGTGGAAGTGGTGAGTACCAGGTGTTCCCCGGGGCCAGGGCGGGGCCAGCAGGAGACTGACCAGCTGTCCTTGCCCCCAGTCACTGCTCAGACAGACTGCCCTCTGCCCACTCAGCAAGTCGGACACCAGACTGCATGAACTCCACCGTGGTCCACACAGCTACAGAGGTGAGCCAGCACGGTGGGGCCGCGGCTGGGCAGGGCTCTCTGCACAGCACCCAACCCTGGGCCCAGCCTGCTCCCCGCCTGGGTGACCTCTGCCCTGGCCCTTCCCCAGCCCTGCGACCTGCCAGCATGGATCTCCTGCACCCACGCTGGCTGGAGGTCTCCGTGGGCGGCACCGGGTTGCGCGCCTCCTCTGCCGTCCCCCACCAGGAGCTGCCCAGACCTCTGCCCGCTGCTGCCGCTGTGCTCCCCCTCAGCCCGGAGGCCACCTATTCCAATGTGGGGCTGGCCGCCATCCCCAGGGCCAGCCTGGCTGCGAGCCCGGTAGTGTGGGCAGGGGCAGGGCTGACCAGAAGCTGTGCCAGGCCTGGACCAGGGGCCAGCCCAGTGGTGGCTGAGTATGCTTGCCCTGAGAAACTCAAGGAGACAGATTGGGGCGCCCGGAAACAGGCTGAGGTGACTGCAGCTGCTCAGGTAAGGTGAGCGGAGGGGGCAGTGCCGGGTGGGCTGGACAGGTCCTGCTTAGAGTGGCAGTGCTGACTCTGCCGGCCTGCTCTCAGGTAGACGTCCTGTACTCCAGAGTCTGCAAGCCTAAAAGGACGGGCCTAGGACATGCCACAGCCCAGCCCCTCCCCCAAGACAGGGCCCTGCCACTCAGGGGCCTGGGCATGGACAGCGCCCCCCCGGAGAACGTGTACGAGAGCATCCGCGAGGTCCTGGGCCCCTGAGCTCTGCGGTTCGCATGAGTGGACTTCTGCCAGGCACCAGGCCTGCTCCCAGGCCAGCTTAGGGAGGGGCTGAGACACCTCCCTGCCCGAACAGGTGCCTCTGTCCTTCCAGTGAGCCCCATCCCCACAGCCAGCAGTTCAAATCCTGGAGCCTGCTGCCTCTGGGAGGCTCTGAGGGGCCCACTTCCTCCACAGTCCCCAGGCCACTTCCAAATAAAGCTCCACTTGGAGGATGAACACCCCTGCCGCAGCCTGCCCTTCTTTCTTTCTTTTTCTTTTTTTTTTTGGAGAGGTTTTATATATATTTTTTTTGCTATAGGGCCGGTACCTTTGCCAGAAAGACAGAAACAGAAAGCGAGAAATCACCCCCTGGGGGGATGGCCATGCTGCAATCCCTTCTCCATTCTCCTCTCGGGATCTTGGGCACGCACACATGCCCAGCGTGAGTTTAAGCCCCCCGGGTCCGGGGTTCAAACCGCTGTCGACGACATGGGAGTCCAGCGACATGGCCATTAAACTAACTGCTGGTCCCCAGCCTGCCCTTAAGAGCTGACGGAACGGGGACGGATGGCGGGGGCTCCCATTCTCGTGTGCTGCGCCTGAGCTCAGTGGGGTGGGGAGCCTGCGGTCGTGGCCTCCAGGCGGCGTTGGTCTTAGGGGACATCGCGGCCGGCCGTAGGGTGGCCACCCGGGTGTGGGACTTGGACACAGCTCCTCGGGAGGGCCCTGCCTCCTGGCCCTGGTGTCACACCAGGCGGGGCGGACTACGCGTTAGAGTAACCTGCTCCCGGAAGGCCGCCAAGCGGACGTGCCCCTTCCTCAGCTCCGGCGGGTCCACGTCTACGCCCAGGGCCCACCCCCGCGGCCGGGACGTGCGGGCGCCCGGGACCCGGCGGGGGCCAGGGGCCCTCTGGAAGGCGGGAGCACTCGCGGGGGCGGGGCCGTGGGGTGCTGGCCAATGGGAGCGCGGCTGGCCTGAGCCACGCCCAC